TCCCGTGTTATGTGTGTAGGATGTAGGGGATCTGGGTCACTGCTGTCACCACCACAGTGCTTTTGAATATAACCCTCCAAGCCCCAAAAGCCTCTCTTCTGACATGGGAGGATGGCACATTCCTGCTGCCCACCCAGTGGGCACCCATCTCTCCGAGCTGCTCCTTTCAGCAGCTTCAAGCTGGACTCTCCAGACAAGTCCCTTGTCCCTCACAACCCCTCTGCTATAGCTCACGCTCAGGGCTCCTCCAGGACTGGCACCTAAGTGATSACTTGTGGCTGTGTGGTTGCAGGATACCGCTGTCACCTCAGGACTCACTGCTGGCTCTTTGTCCCCAGGATTAAGGAACTGCTTGTTTGGGGGCACCAGGAACCATGCAATGCCACAAGGTGTGTGGGATGTGCAGAGCAGATTTCCTGTGGGTCTGTCCCACTGTCCTTTTGCTGGTGACCCATTGCTGAAGGCAAGGTGATGACTCCCTGTGCTGTTCCCCACCTTGCAGAGTGAACTGTGGTTTGCTGGTCCACATGGCCATGGCTTGGTCAAAAATCAGGGCTATTTCAAAGGAGACAAGTGCATCGCTTAGTCTGGGTGATCTTGGCAGAAGAAAAGGCCACTCACCGATATTTGTTGCTACTTCTTTTTTCTGGGCATGGAGTTAAGCTGCAGAGAAATCCCTGTCTTCTCACAGGCCCATGTTGTCCCTTTCGTACTAGGTTTGTCTTCCTGGGTAATATCACATCTTGAAAGGAAGAGAAGGAAGATCACTGTGGGAAGACTCCTCTGCTTTTCTGAGAAGGGATTTTGGTTTGGGGAAAGCAGCTCAAGGAGGATCTTTGTGGGTTCCCATGCAGCTCTGTAGCACTAACACAGCTGGGTGCTTGGAAAGTCCACAGATCTTGGCTTCCAAGAGCTCCTTGCACAGAGCCGGTTGTGATCCGTCATCCTCGGCTGACCCGGGCRAGAGGGGGAGAGGTGAAGGAGAGGGAAAAGGCCTTTCTATTTTCAAGATGTTTTATAATGGGATTATTAGTTCCCAAGAGGTGTTTCTAATTGATTTGATAGGGAATTGCTTTCATTTCTCCCCTCCAGAGATACAGTGGGAATCTAGCCTTTGGCATGAACGGTCACACAGCTCTTGAAACCATAGATCTAAACCCCCTGGCACATGGTAATGGCATATTCGTCTTCCCTCAGCCACACACACACACACACACACACACACACACACACACACACACACACACACATGCCTTTTGCTCCATCTCGGGCACGGTCATTGCTCTGCGAATCACTCAGGGAATGATTTGGGGGCTTGGTGAGCGTCACTGGACTGAAACGGGCTGCCAGCACTGCAGGAAGAGCAGCTCCGATGGGAGAGCCTTGCCTGGGCTGGCTTAGCTGGCAGCTCTGGCTTGAGGGCTGCTTTCCCACCGCACCAGGGAAGTGCGGATTTACCCTGCCAGGATGTCCAGAACAGCCAGAAAGCTCACGGGAGCTTCACTGCAGGAGCGGCCTTGGCACGTGTGCGCATTGCTGTGCGTGGCGGCGGGTTGAACCGGGTTGGATTTGCAAGATAAACCTGGTTTGGGGTTTTGGGGGTTTGTTGTGCAAGAGGCCCCTATGCCATGTGGTTGTGAGAGCATGGGGCTCTGGGGGCTCTGTCTTGGGGCCACTCCATGTTTTAGTGCTCATAGAAAGGGGCCAAATCTGCTCTGCCCAGAGAAAGCAAGGAAAAAGGGGGAGAAGTGGAGCAGAGGGAAGCAAGGAAAGAGGGGGGAAACCTTAAAGAAATCACCCCTTTCTCCATTTCATCCATAGTCTTCCCAAGGAAACCTTTTTCTGCAAAGCTGCAGAGGACCTGACCTTTGCACAGCAACTTCTTTCCCCCCTTTAGGACTGTTTGCTTGGTTGGCACCCTGCGACTGGCGCCCAGTGGCCTATTGAGCTGTGCTGCAACAGGAGCACAGGCATCTTCAAAAGCCCTGGAAAGAATTCGGCCAGAGGAGGGGGGCAGGGCGAGGGCAGTTTTACAAGCTCCCATTCAAAAATTGTTACTTTGAAGTGATGTGGCATTTTCAACCCTTTGAAGCACCACAATTAGGAGGGGGCTGGTGCAACCTAAAGGCAAAACACTGGGTGACTACCATGGCCTTTCTCTCCCCAAACTTTTAAGAGATGAACTTTTCCTCCCTGCCTGCCGGTTTCTCATGAGCCACCTACCAGGGGGATGGGACATGGTTGGAGGCTGCAAAGACCTTACACATACCCGAGATGAGAGCATCTCCTGTTTGCTTTGCCCGTCAGCAAGACCTGAGATCAGTGCTGCTGTGGGCCACCTGGGCTGCACTGAGGTGAATGCATGGAGAGTTTCCAAAGAAAATGCAAGTTTCCAGTTGTTCCTGCAAAAGCATCAAGCCTCRACCACCAGAAAATTCCAGTGTGGGCACCAGAGCCCCCTGAGAGTCACCTAGGGCACAGCTGAACGTGCCTCTGGCTAGTAGAACTTCCATAAAGGTCCTGCATCTGGTAGTACTCATGACCCACAAGCAAGCTCTGAGCAAGGAACAGACAAGGGTCTTGCAGAGCTCATGGTGGAGACGACAACCAGCCAGGCAGTAGCTCTCTAAGCACTTGGTTAACTAGTTTTACTCGAAAGCAGAGCACTCTATTTCTAATGCCAAAATGGATTAGAAGAAAACAAGATATGAAGCCAAACTCTGCACAGAAATAGCCTCCTTTGGCAAGCAAAAGCCTTGAGGAGAAGCATTAAAGAGTCATAGCATGGTTGAAGCTAAGGTTTGCGCAGATGACTCTCGTGCTTTGCTCAAGAGACAACCTTGACAAAAAGAGCAAAAGCATTGCAGCTTTTCCAGTTTGTGGAGCTGCCCTTTTCTGAACCTGCATGGTTCAGGAAAGAACCTGAAGAAATGGCCAAAGGAGCAGGGCTTCTTCTGAGATGTCCCCACTTCAGGCAGCTTAGATATCTTCTGGAAACTACCCATGCTCTTCAACAGATGCAAAAATTTAAAGAAAATGACAAACTGAGGTCACTTTTTTTTTTTCTCCAGGAATGGATTTTAGTGCCCCAAACAGACTCATTGCTTTAACCAAAGGCTGAGAGCTGCTGAGGCACACTTGCTCAGAGCTCAGTGATGATGAATTCCCCTCTTTGCTGAGGGGCAGCGAGTAGGACTGAGTTCCAGGCTGGTTTCTAATACAGTATATGAGCAGTCCCCAACCCTTCATGGCTGTTGAGTTGCTTGGTTGTCTATAAAACCTTTCAGGCCAATGTCACTGAGAGTATCTCCAGTTAGAGCTTTGACACTGAGTGTGGTTGTTTGTCTGGCAGGAATGGGGGGCTGGCCATGTCACGCTGCTTTAGACACTTTGAGAACCACCATGATTACTGGTTTCCTGTTGCTCTGTGGTTCCCTCATTAAAAGATTTTGCATTTCCTTGTGTCTAACATCAGCTTTAAGCCCATATTACCCAGCCTATATTGCTCCTATGAAGGGGGAGGAAATGCCAGTGTATCCTCAGGGAGTGAGGCAAGCGGAGTGGGAATTGGGTGCTGTGAGCCAAGAATGTGGCATGACCAGAGTCAGCAAAACCCATACCTTACTGGATATAGGGCTGCCCTGGAGCACATGGGCTYTGGTTGTGATTTGTGTGCATCTGAAGAGGTCAGGCAGCATCTTGTAGCCTGTGTCACATGGGACTTGGCAATGGCATGGGGCAGGTGGGATGGGRTGGCTCTTACAAGGCAGGTCCTGATTGCTCCGCAGCCATGCAGCGACATAGATGATGCAGTCCTGTTACATGTTCCCCATGCAGCTATGTAGATTTTTTGTACAGAGATTCATCAGTGCATGCCTGGACTCCTGGGATTTCCAATCCTGGGAATTTTCCTGAAAAGCTTCCCCAGAGGGTTGAATTGCAGGTTCCATCCTCCAAGGCCTTCCTGGCCAAGTGGGTGGGCTTCTGGGGACCACTGCTGACCCTGCTTCCTGACCTCCACATCCTCAGCCTCAACCTTGCCATCTTGAGCCATAACTCACAGCACAGCACAGCTCTGGAAGGCTTTGGGATCCGCCTGGAAGAGCCAGCCAAGACTGCTGGGTTCATTTCCCTCCCACAAGGCTCTGGCCTGACAAAGCTCCCTATTATCCTCCCCAAGGGCAGGTTGAAAGACTCAGAGATGTTACTGGAAAGATGCAAAATGACTTTTGTTGTCTAATTGATGCCCAGGCAGGACACGCTCCCCCTGCCAAAAATGAGTCATCCCAGCGTAATAACTGCAGACTGCCTCCCTGTGTCACTTGCTGCCAGACATCCTGATGGATGACAGTCAATGGAGCCCACAGCTTCCGCGTTCCGGATCCCAGGAATCCACTGGGACCCAGTTACGGGGCCATGGGCAGTGAGAACCTTCACTGAGCTGCCAAAAATGCCATGGGTTTCGCAGCACATTGCTTGCGAGGGCAGTGGCCAGTTGGCTCGAGGCAGCCAGACGTGCCCCAGAAGCCCCCAGCAGGCTGAGTGCTGGGCCAGGCTGAGGGGTGCACAGGGACCCCTCACCTCCCAGCATGGGACACCGCTCCAGGTTGTTGGTGGCAGTGGCATCCTACTGGGAGTCAATGCAGATTCCCCTGCATGGCGGTGAGGGGACTGCATGGGGACTTCAGTCCTCCATCGTCCTGCCCAGGCACAGCAAAAGAGCTGTGTGAAAACAGGAGAAGCTGGGCAGGCTGCTAGGGAGATGGAGGCATCTGCCCTGGCGTTATGCTCAGGGCAATGTGTGAGTGCTTGTGGTCACCTTCTCTCGTATTCATAGGACTCTCCTCCCTGCGGAGCCAGGCAGAGCAGAGCTTGTACTTCCTGCAAGGATGACAGGTCCGTCATAAGGGTTGCTCATGTGGGATGAGCTTGTGCTGAGCACAAATCCCACTCATCACACCAGTGGCTCCTGATTTACCTTCCATCTCCTGTCTCTGCAGGTCACCTGCCAAGGTCTGAAGAGAAGCCRAACCAAACCGGTGGTGCTGCAGCGGCTCAGGAGTCACTCCAGACCATTTACAACCCGGACTGCCAGTGTCTGGAGGACCTAGAATTCACTGGCGAGTGTGTGACGCTGCCGAATGGCACAGCCCTGCAGGTCTCTGCCATCCCCCCTGGCGTGCTGGACAAAGCTGAGCTCACCTGCTTCTACTGCTGTACCCGCTGTGGGAAGGTGTTCTGGGAAGGCTCTCATTTTGGACGTGTCGTCTCTCAGTTTAAGGATGTTCTTGCTGCCATGGAGGACAACCAAACATTCTATGACCTTAGTTGAGGGGGTTGTTTGCTGCTTGGGAAGGCTGTGGAATGAGTAGGAGAGCCTGGCAGACGCTGCCTCCTTCATAAACTTCAGCAAATCTTCTAGGCCATGGGCTTTGGTTTGAGGTGATACATTGCAAGCGGAAACCTTGGTTTGCGGTACACAATGGAAGGGACTGTCATGCTTACACTAATGGGGCAGTGGTATGCACCAGCCTTGGACCACTTGGCCTGATCATTAAATCAGAGGAATCCATGAAACAGTCCTCTTCTTTATTGCACGTGAGCGGTTGGGTTCCTCCATCCAGGCTGCCTCTCAGAGGCACTTCTGCCATAATGTGTCCCACACTATCTCCCTTTAAGCCATGCAGTGCTGAGGGGACATTAAGGTCTCAGGAATGTCACCCGGGTGATGGCAACCCTGGGAGGAAGGGCTGGAAATGGGGCAGAGAGGCCACCATTTCACAGCACCAGAGGCCTCCCAAGGAGATGGAGACATCTTCTGGGTCAATCCTGCAGCTCTGGGCACTGCTGGCTGATGACTCTCAGACCACAGACAGGCTCAAAACACTCCACCCTGTAACGGAGGAGTGTTTGCAGAATTCCTCTCCTAATCCCAGTTAACTGCCAGGCACTGATGTTATTGCTAACAGGGCCCGAGGGGCTCTTGGCTTAAGTGTGACATTTACGGGCCAGTGAAATGCCTGCCCAGACAGCTTACGCTGAAAGCTAAGACTTGCTTGTGCTCTCCCTGCGCCTCTGGCCACGCTGGTTCCGCGGGCTYCTTCCATCCACCCCTCCCTCCGGCTTTCATCCCTGACTTTGCATCCATGGCTCCCTTGGCCGAGCCATGTGGTGACCCTGCGACCACAGCATCATGTGGCCAAGAAGGTGGGCAGCTGCCAGGATGCTTTTGGAGCCTGAGAGCGAAGCACTGCCGCGTCTCCTCTGCCGCTCTGCATCCCCCATGGGCAGGGGCTGCCACTGGGAGTAGCACGGGAGGTGACAGGAGCTGTCCTACCTCTGGAAGCTTGAGAGGCCACCAGTGGCGGCAGGCGATGAGGGCAGCCATGTGGCCACAACTCTGCTTCTCCCACGCAGAGGGAAAGGGCCTAACTGCAGCCCACAATCTGTTCTTGTTGAGCTCCATTTCTTTGAAGTGGAAGCATAAAATAACAGCATTTCATTCCCCAGCAAGCACCAGCATCAAGATGAATCACAGCACAGGCAGGAAATGAGAAAGCAAAGGTGGTTGTGGCATGAACAAAATGCATTTTTCTATGACTCAGTCCAGGCAGAGGCTGGCAGGGATTCGAGRTGCCCAGGCTGTCCCTATCAGTGAGTTCTTAGGGCTCGGCAGAGGCTTAGTTAAGAAAATTAAGTATTGACCTTGTACTGGGCTCCTTCTCATCAGGGCACACGGGAATGTGAATCAGGATCTGGCCAGAGGCACCTGCACTGGTTTGTGCAGCCACTGCCACTCCAGCGTCTGCCAGGCTGTGCGCGTGCAGCAGCAAGACGCCGCCCGTCCCAGCTTGGTAACAGACATGCTCCTGCGCAAGGTTTGTCTTTCTCAGACCAGCTGCTTGTAGGCTGGCCCCAAATGCACTTTTCCCATCCTCCCAGCCCATGTTTGGGGGCCAAAAGCAGAGCCTTTTTGACGACCCCTCAGCTGAAGACCTCCTTGCTGAGCACAGTGCGCTGCTCAGCCCATGCGCACGGAGCACTCGGGGACCTCACTTCCCGCCGCCAAGGCTTTGGCTACGGGAGGGTGAGAGAAGGGGGAAGTCAGATCCCTGGGGGGAATTCCTGCCTGGAAGTGCTGGCTGCCTTTCCTGGCGCAGCAGCTCAGTGATTCCGGAAGGGAATTCCAGTTGCCTTCCTCACCACTTCCACGATCTGGGGAGGCACGAGCAGGCCAGGTCTGCACCTTGGACATGCTGCGGGGAGCCTGGCRGCTGTGCCCACAGCCAAGCACACATTTGGATGCGAGATCATCCAGGACCACTATAGAGCCACCAGCAAGGAATGTTCCCTGCCATCCGTGGTGAGCCCTCGCATTGCTTTGCTTCCTGCAGTATGCAACTGCAAGCCAGTGTCAGCAGCTGCTACACAGTGTCTTGGCTGGCCAAGCCCAGGCAGGGGAACATCTTTAGGTTATTCCCATACAGATGCAGGTTGGGCTCCAGGTGGTATACATCAGACATGGCTACATCTGCAAAGGCCCATAGAGCCATTGCGAGCCTCTAATTCCCTATTCCCAGTGTGATCTCTTGCCCCAGTGAGCCCCTTGCATAACTGGAGATGCTGGCAGCCTTCTCAAGCCACATTGCTCCTTAGCTTCTTGGAGGGCTGCTCACCATTAACCATCATCACTTCTTCCCAGCTCACAGGTGCAAGGGACCAGGGCTTGCTGCACTGAAAATTTTCCTTTTAAGCAAGATCTGCCCCAATCTCTCCCTGTTGCAGTGCCTATTTTTCCCTTCCAGTCACTGGAAGGAAGGATCTTCCCACTTAGAGGTTTCTGTTGCCCTAGATCAGGTTTGCAGGGCAAACGTGTGCCAGGGTTCAGAACATCCAGCACGTTCCTGCAAGTGCATTTCCATCTCCAGCAATATGGTATATTGGGAGTTCTTTCTCCTAATAGGATTAAAATGCCTTCTTCTAATCTTGCCCTCAAGGGTGATCATTTTTGCATTGAATCTTTCAGTTTTCTCAGTTGTCTACATTTTTGCTGAGTGTAGCATGCACGAGCTATGTTTCATTTCCCATTTCTCTATCCTCTCTCTCTCTCTAGGTGTTAATACACTATTCCTAATCCCATTTCTTACTTGCAATTGTAATTTCCTTCTCTCTTTTTCCCTCAAGGTAGCTTTTGTCATATTTCCAATACAACAGTTTGAGGCCAGCCAGTGATATCTGAGAATAATCCATGCTTTCATTCCTTGCTTGTTGTGCTGAAAATTATTCTTCACCTTTCTAGTGCTCCCCCCCCCCCCCAAAAAAAACATATATGTGTGTGTGTGTGTGTGTGTATACATATATATAGTTAGGTAGGGACCAAACAGACCGTTTGCTGGTGATGATACTGTCTGGCTGCAGGGAGAACCTGTTACTCCAAGTAGCATGCTAGCCACCAATATTTGGGCCACAATTAACCTGTGTTGGGCCATTAGGAGGAGATCCCATACTGAATCCTAGATGGATCCAGAACTTTGCCTGCTAGGAAATGACCATCTTGTGGAAACTGATTTGGTTTTGTTACCTATGCCACCAAATGTTCTGCAGGTGACATCACCCTTGATAACAGGTTTTCTTTCTGTGCATTACGGGTAGATGTTTAATAACTGTCTGCCCTGTGTTCCCACAGCAGCATTAAAAGCGAGCAAGTTAACTCTGAGCAATTGAGGTCCCACCAGCCTGAGTCTCAGAGATGACCATAACAAGGCTGAGTGACCTTGCTTGGACATGGACATGTTTGGATCTACATGCTTTCAGTGTACCACCTGCAATTGCGGTACTACTGACTGCAGCATTTTCCCTCTTGTCCACCAGAGTCTCCAGCTTGAAAGTCTTCAGTTTTGGTCAGACTTTCATCCATTTCTCATTCAAGAGTCAGAAACACTGTCCAATCCTGCCGCACCTTGGGTTGCTCTCTGGCTTCACTCTGGGACTGCAAAAGCTAAAGATGAAATAAAGCAGGAATGACTGCTCAGCATCACCGTCTCCCCTGACTGCACCACGAGCGATGTTTCCACCCCCTCCACACTATCATGTGAATACATGAAGCTCTCTGGATTCAGTTTTGGGGAAGCTTTGAGTCGCATGTACATCTGAGTCATCCCATCCCCTGACTGGAGCAAGCTGCAGCCCCCGAGCCCCTCCCCTTCTGTAGAACATTTTCAGTGAAGTCTCGATATTTCTGTGCTTTTTTTTACCCGGTGTTTCTGAACTGTGATTTCATGTCTGTTTGCTCCCTACTCTCACCTCAGAGAAGCTGATGGAGAGCTGGTCAGAGGGTCAGCATGCCACACCATCCCTGTCCTGCGCAGGCACAGCTGTGTCCTGTGGCCGCACAGCTTGGATGRAGCCCTTCAACAGAGACGCTTCTCTGATTGCCAGGTACAAGGGCTCACCTTCTGGGAACCTCTACTTGTTTATCATCCTTCTGTGTCCCAGAATTTGGGAATCCTGCTCTGGCGGGATGGACTAAATGCATCTAGTCAGCACTTTGGAGCAGGTTAACCACAGTGGGACTTGTTTTCTCTGGCCCAGCTAGGGCAAAGGCTGGCCCACTAGAATGAACAGCCAGGGTAGCTTGCTGTGACCTTGCAGAATGAAGTAGTCTTCCAGGGTGCTTTTCCATGATGGCCCTTCCCCAGGGACCTTCTTGTACCACAGTTGCCTACTCCTGACCCTCTCCTCACATCAGACAAATAAGCAAGCCCGGCTCTACTGTGAGCATGGACTGAGTCATTGCTTCTGATTCCTTAATCTTCCACATGTCCAACAGACCAAGGCAAAGCAACCGATGGCCATCAGCCCAGAAAGCAGTGGGGGAGAAGAGGCAGTGTCTGTGGGCATAGCATGGAATGATTCCCAAAGGGTCTGGCCCAGCTCAGAGCTCTTGGGAATGAGAGGTGGTGGCTAAGCCCCAAGTGTGCCAGCCTAGGCTCAGACATAGCTCCTCTCCCTCTCTGTTGCCCCGAGGAGGTGATGCTGAGGCGGAATAGGTGCACTAAGGTTATCACTGGTCATAGACAGTCAGCATAAAACTCCCAAGTCACACTGGCCTTCAGCAGCATCCAGGAAATCATAAATTGCCCAGTTTTGAATGGGGGATACACATCAAAGAGACTTAAACCAGCTTTTCAATGAGACTACAATATAGCTTCCCTATCTGGCCACTTWAAAAAAAAATAAAAATAAATCCCATTGTCTGTGCCATGCTAATGTTTAACATTTATTAGGGCAGTAACGAGTCCTTCATGTTTTTATAGAGCTGTTTGATCATGTGTTCGAAGGGCGTCTTGGGCAACTTCTACAGAGCGTCACGGGAACACATGTGCTGGGGGATTACACATGCCAGGAGCCTTTCAACCCCAGGACTTTTCCTCTGGGCTCCATCCCTGCCCRTGCATTTCGAGCTGTGGTTGCAGGAAGACCCTAAGCTAAAGCAGTGTGAAGATCCACACACACCGAACACAGACTCCAGCGTAACCCACAATTCTCCTCTTTCACTTYCT